GTGGGCGCGCGCGCGCGCGCGCGCTCTACCGCGTCTATCGACCAGATTCTCTCGTCTCTCCTCCTCTCGTTACCTCGCTGCCTATGGCCCCTGTATGTATTCCGCTAGGATCCCAGCCACGGCCACGGCAACGCCTCGTCGCTATCTCCGACGTGTTCCGGGAATTGGGGACTGACCGACGGTTCCCACGTGGCCACGTGGAGAACACGAGGAAAAGAAGACTGTTCGTTCTTCGATGACTCTGTTCCCGTTCCCGGACTACGTTTTACGCTCATTTTCCATCTTCGAACTGGTCCAGACGCTGCTCGCCGCATTTCACCCAGCGTCTCGTCGTGTCAACGTCGAGTACGGTCGTCCAATTGTAAAATCGTTCGCACCGTCGTACCGCATCGTGCCTCCTAATCGTATATCGCCGTTCCGATCACGCTGTTGCAAGATCCGCGAGCGATCACGGAGGTATTCGTGGAGCAGTCGCAAAGTGAACAGCCGCAATGACGTAACACGCGGCGACGGTGATGGTGATGGTTTATGGCGATTTTGGCATCCGACAGTTCCGTTTATGCGGTCCGGTAAATTCGATCGGCGGCCGTTGCGATCGGCAACCATTGCTGCGGACATTTGAACGGAAAAGGGTGTTCCGGCCGTGAAAGGGAAACCCGATGGAAACGCGTGAAATCCGACCTGTTCTGGAAAACACGGAGATGCGAGTAAGGAGAGCGGCGCGAGAGCGGCGAGAAACTCGCCTCCCGAAACCACCACCCTCTCGTTAAAATGCATCGAGACGAAAACTTGGTTACGTTAAAGTGCACCGAATCGAACCTTGCTGACGTTAGACGACGCCGAATCGAGGCGTTCAGCGAGCCGTTCAACTGTGTCAAATTGCAGGATCGACGAATTTTCCTCGCAGACCATCGCCAATCTCGTTACAAACGTCGCGTATATGATATTATTACATAACCATACTTGTATGGTTTCATTTTGGACGCAAAGTATTTTTAAAGGACGAAACGAGCAAGCTGAATTTACAGATTTTTCAAAATCTCTCGAGAAACAGCGATTCGAAGCCGAGTATTCGCTTATAGAGGAAACACAGCCCTGTTAGCGGCCTGGTACTTGTTCGAAATAGCCAGCGAGCAAACCCCCTTCGCGTCCAAAGAGGACGAGTTTTTCAGGTGTGCGACCATCGTGCAGACGTATTTTCACACAGCCGCTTCCAAGCAATCATCGAATCGATCGGCAAACGTTTCTCCATTTTCGTTCTCACCGCGAAAAATCGTGGTCGAACCGAGCAAAGTTTCATCGTGGAAATCGTGGAGCGATGCGATGAAATGGTGGAAGAAACCTGTTAAAAAGCTTAGTGAGATTTACTCAACGATGCCTGCGCTTGGGATCGTTTCGATAGAGGCTGACGGTGAAAAAAGCGGCGGAAAAAGCGGCGGAGAAAGCAGGATCGAAAGAATCCATCGGTAAGTCGGATAATTTCGCTTTGACGCAAAATTAAAAGCTAACGGTTCAAATTAGAATCGGAATTGACAATATGCGTAAAGTACAGCGTAATTTTTCGTTCGCATTTCTTTCTCTTTATCTGTTTTGTAATTGCGATTTTCGTTTCTTTCTTTTTTAGTTTCCTATCTCTGTTTAACATGCGATCGAGATAGCGCGATGTACAGAACATCGGCGATGTTTTACGATAACGTGATTTTATATTTTGCCAGTCGGTGTAATTTCTTGCGTGATTGCGAACATTGCAGTTCGACGGGGAGGTCTAGTCGTAAATTACAGACGTCTGAATCTATACCAAAGACAACGATAACGACCTCGAATAGTCCTCTTTACGATAAGATCTGGATATCGGATGGTGCATGTACCTGTTTCCGATATCTTTCAAACGTTCAAAGGTGATTAGCAAGGAAGGTTGCCCTGGCATGTGCGATCAATCTCAAAATAAGGTAAGTTACGAATATCATTAAGTTGCGATATTTTATCGTTGTCGTTCCTTCGATCCGAATTGTATCGAACCTCGTGAATCCAACGATAAACATAAAGTTCGAACATAATAATGGCGTTATAACGGTGAAGAGGTATTCTTTAAATATCTGAAAAAGAACGTGAAAACTGAAAGGAATAAAGCGAACGAGACGTTACTTTTAATAGTCGAACGATTCGTTTGTCCTCTCTCGCAACTCGAGTAATCGGCGAGCTCTTCCAATATACTTTTATAATATACAATACCACCAACCGATTACAACGACGTTTTTAACAAAATTTTCACTCTTACGAGAAGTCAACGACGAATTTTTATCGATTCTCGTCTTTTAATAAACGTGTATTTTTTTCAATCGACAGACATGCTCTTCGCGAATATCGCGATTTTATAAAAGCGAAAGAAAGTGAACTCTTCAACTTGGATTTATAACGGAAGAATCCTACTAATCTTGTTTTTCTTTAATCTTTAATCTTCGCACCGCGCTCTCAGCCCAGTGAAAGTTTCAAATCTTCTCTTATATTTTCAAAAACTTCGTTATGAAGTTTAACCTTTAAATCCGAATCGTTTGACGAAAATGTTTCGAGTTAAATATAATATTCGATCCTATCGATTGCTTTTCCTGAGAGATGTTTCTCATCCGAAAGTTATCATTCATAGTTGGTTAAGTTAAATTTGAACAAATTAAAGAATATTTCCTTTTCATCGTTGACAAGTAAATTGTACTTATCGTGTGCGTACATTCCCAGTTTGGTTGTTATTATGCCTGTTTTTTTATATACTTTAGATTAAATTGTGTATTCAGATGAAAATTAATAACAAATCGCCAACTTCTCCGCTAAACTTGAATCACTCGACTACTTCTTCTCTCTTATTTATTCTTGTCGTTACATGTACCACCGCATGGATATTCGAATGATATAGAAAGATATAAATATACGATGTAAAGATATATATTCATGTGCGAACATACGCCGACAAACGAGAAACGAGAAACTTGAATCACGAAAGCTTCGATTACTAAAAGTACCAATGTTTAAACATACATACATATATATATATATAAAGTATTCGAACGAATGTGTTAATCTACAAATGCCAATTTTCTTCTTTTATTTATCGAATTAGTTACTGGACGCGGAACTTTTAGTTTTCTATATATATATATATATATATATATATATATATATATATATATATATATATATATATATATATATATATATATATATATATATATATATATATATATATATATATATATATATATATATATATATATATATATATATATATATATATATATATATATATATATATATATATATATATATATATATATATATATATATATATATATATATATATATATATATATATATATATATATATATATATATATATATATATATATATATATATATATATATATATATATATATATATATATATATATATATATATATATATATATATATATATATATATATATATATATATATATATATATATATATATATATATATATATATATATATATATATATATATATATATATATATATATATATATATATATATATATATATATATATATATATATATATATATATATATATATATTCTCTATACTAATATTCTTCCTAATATATACCGAATCGTGTCCTTTCTTAAAGAAACAAACCAAAGAGAAATCATTCGAATAGAAAAATGTATAAAGACGATAAAATATCGGCAAAATCATGCAAAAAATGTTAAGTTTTATTAGAACGGATGGAAATAATACGACAGGGTATTGTATCGAATATTTAACAAGATATTCACGCTACTTTATCTGATAATTTTTATTTTTAGGTACTGTTTCGTGGCGATAAAAAAGCGCTAGATAACGAGCCTAACACTTTTAATTTCGAACTGCATAACAAAATATACAAAAGCCGATCGCGGCTACAAAAATGGTTAATAGGGCTGCTGATCTTCCTATTTGTATCGTTGATCGTAATAAACACGTTCAACACGGATCAGTTTCGAGCGGCACGGTATGGAGCTATTATCAACGATACCTCGCAAGGTATACCTATACCTATTTTTACTAAAAGCATAGGACTTGGAGAACGTTTAAGCGAAGCTCGTTTAAACGTCTCTTTGTCGTTGTTAATTAATCGATTGAACGAACGATGAACGTATACTTTATTTTCAGACAATTACGCGCAACTGAAGTCTTTGTTCGCGTCCATAGCGAACTCCGGTTTCGTAGTCCGCAACAAAGGTTGTCGAATTCCAGCGATGGATCCTTTCGATTCAGCGATCGCACGATTTATCGAGAAGGAAAAACCACTTATTTGCGAGCACGGAAGTCATTTACCGCTGGTCGATTCGAACGACACAGCGCTCTACATAAATCCAAATGCGATCGGCCATTTCTACAACAATTCAGGGGAAATCGATTGCTGCTGGCGCCCGTTCTGGCGAACGAAGGACGAAGATAACGTTGTTACGTCAGTAAGACTGATCATTCTTACTTTTATCGATCGTCTACGATTTCTTATTTCGTTTTAGCGCGTTGTTCGAACCACGTGCAATTTTATACCAAAGTTTGGCGAAAACCGTAGCGAGCAGGATTAAATCTGTTATACGTATTTGCCTCTTTATCGCTTTAGTCTCTTTCTTAATTTCAAGCGTAATATATTTAGTTGATATTCGTAATTCGTAATTCGTAATTCGTAATTCGTAATTCGTATTTATAGGTACGGTAACGAGTGTTTTAAATTCGAAAACGCGACGGCCGTAAACACCGAGTTTGTGAAAGTGGAATGTTCGCGCAACAACGAGGTGATATACAAGGATTATCACGCGTTTGTACCTCGTTTCCCATCGGTAGAGAGGAAATACGAGCGAGCCAGAGCGACCGATATGAAAACTGAACAGCTCAGCGTGTTAATAATCGGCCTCGACTCGATTTCACGACTAAATTTTCATCGTATGATGCCGAATACTGTCCACGCGTTGAAAGAACTTGGAGCGGTTGAATTCTTGGGTTACACCAAAGTGGCTGATAACACGTATCCGAATTTAGTGCCTGTCTTAAGCGGCTTATCCGAGAAACAACTGCACGATCTATGTTGGCAAACTAAAGATAAAACGTTCGACGACTGCCCATTCATTTGGAAAAATTTCAGCGCGTCTGGTTATCGAACGGGTTTCGCCGAGGATGCCTGTGGCATGACCACCTTCAATTATCTAAAACGAGGCTTCCGAGTTCAACCGACTGACTATTATCTCAGACCATTCTGTATCGCATCCGAGAAGGATATCGGTAATACGCACAAATTAAACGCGAATCTCTGCGTGGGAACCAGAAAAACGTTCGAAAACTTACTGGACTACGCTAAGAAATTCGCCTCGCGATTTTACAGGGACCCGTACTTCGCGATGATCTGGCAAGCCAGCCTCACCCACGATTTCTTCAACTATCCGCAATTAGGTGACAATTCCTACTACAACCTCGTCACCTATTTGTTCACGAAACGGTTGCTAAATCGAACAGCGTTGATAGTGATGAGCGACCATGGTATGAGATGGGGAAGCTTTCGGCAGACTTATCAAGGAAGAATGGAGGACAGCCTTCCGTTTGTGTTCGTGGTGATGCCTCGATGGTGGAAGGAAAAGTATCAAGTAGCTTGGGCGAATTTCCGAAGAAACACGCGCAGTCTAACAACAGCTTTCGACTTGCACGAGACCTTGATCGACATACTGCATTCGGAAAATCTGCAGGAACCGCGTCTTAAGGCCCGACTTCGAGCGATGCCGAAAGATGACAATTTGCCCCGTGGAATCAGCTGGTTTTTGCCGATTCCTGACTACAGGACGTGCTCCATGGCGGGTATAGCTAGTCATTGGTGCATGTGTCATAACAGCTACGATGTTTCCTCGGACGACGAAAGTCTTCGGGACAAGGCAGTTTTCTTGGTCTCGGAATTGAATAACATGCTGAACAAGTTCGTACAATGCGCGGTATTGAAATTGAAAGAAATTAAAGCGGCGAAAGCGTGGAAGGGCGAGGGTGAGAAGAACCAACTGATCGATTACACGATCACGATTCAAACGGAACCTGGTGACGCGATATTCGAGGGTACGATACGGTACAGAAACGAGAGTAAGACCAACAAGTTGGTAGGATCGGTTAGCAGATTGAACGCGTACGGAAAACAAAGCGCCTGTGTCGATGAATTCAATATGAGGCTATACTGCTATTGTTTGTAGCTTTGTAGCTTGTTTGTCTGCGTCTTTTTATCGTCTTTTTTTCTTCTTCTCCTCTTTCTTTCTATTCTCATTTTTCGAAAACTTCGAAGAGATTCGCTTTGACCAACATACTCTCGAATGACTCTCGAATGAAATTAGAGTACGGTAGCCAGTATACTGGTAAAAAAAAAAAAAAAAAAAAAAGTCACACTGTGATAAGATACTTGCTTTAAAGATGTGATTCACGGTAATTTCGTACTTAACAAATTAAGCGTCAACTAATAGTAGTGTCGTTTTTATTGTGTACGATAATAATAAATACGCACAGTGTAATATGTTAATACACGAATAAGTAATAAGTAAAAGGTAATTGGCGTGGTGCAGCGATATCATTGAATTTAAACATGACCATATATACATGCGTTTAGTCTACTATGGGATACAAATGTACGTGTACGGACGTATGTATAAAAATGCAATTGCAGAGAGATACGATTCTTTTACGTTACAAAAATACATTTTCTTCCTATATAGTAGTAAATGACAGCAACTTTTAAATACGACGTTTGATTTGTTAAGCATACTTAAGCATACTGTGAATAATTTTCAACTAAATTCAAAGAAAGACCTAATATGTGCTAGTATTTTAATTACTAGACGCGACTCGCAGACTCCCTGCCATTAAAACACTTCATTCGTCTTTTTACGATAATATGCATTCGACGAAAAACACTGATATTACGAAAGAATTACGGCTTTGCAATGGTCCTATTGTCCTGTAATTACCTAAAGATTTAACTAGCCTTCGACTCGAACAACTATCTTCTTACGATTGTATTTTCTCAAACTTTTATTAGTAACGTTCGTATGTTGTATATGATTTTCCTAAATTCAGATAGAACAATGTAACTCGGATATTTACTTATCATTTGTGTTTCACGTTTATGCTACACATTTATACATCTACGCTATAAAAAGGGTATAAAATAATTTATTTATTATTTTGAGACAAGAGAAACGCAAAAGTCACATTATCGGTCTAACGATACCTGTCTTAAGATTTTGTCAAACCGGTTAATCATTCGCTTAAAGAGAAAATATTTACCGTCAAACGCGTATGCGTATATTTTTCGATAGGACCGTGATATCGTTCAATGATTTTGGTTCGATGCAAATAACTTCTTTTACCTGTGCTAAAGCGAGATGAAAGCAAGCTCGATTGTTCAATGGCCGAATACAGAGTTGCATAGAATTAAAACCATCGGTTCGTAATAAAATGTTTGTGCGCTAATTTTTAATACGATTGTAATACGAATCGGTGACATACTTGAGATAGTTATAGAAACTCAACTATAAATTAACAAAAACTACAGGTAATTACATAGGTAAGTACGTTAGAATTACGTATAAAGATACAAAAATTATAATTTATTTATGGCCTCCTTTTTATGAGAGATTTTAAGGTTGCCGTGTACAAAGCAACAAAACGTTACAACATACCGTGTTGTATCTGACGAAAGAATTATACTTTAATTTTTGTAAACGAAGTGTACGCAAAGGTACTGAAATAAAACCTTTGTAAAATATAAACTAATGTACAATTTAATGCGAAACATTTTTAATAAGTATATGAAACGCAAGTTAAATGATTGCACGATCCTTTAGAGTTATCGATGACGGATGGCGTTGTACATTTTATTGCGAATAATTTCAATAGAAAAATCGTAATACAATACTTTATTATTGGATACTAGGTCCGATATTTAAAAACATTTTCATCGAGTACTCCTCACTATTTAAATGCAAAATTTCTGTTCATGTAAAACACTCATACATCACCCGCGCGTGTTAAAGGAAAAATAACTTATTTTGTTAAATAAACTGCGCAACCGTTCCTAACATCCGCATAAGTAATCGGCAATAATATATATGACCAGTTTCTTATAATCAAAGAGGAAGTACGTGTACTCGCAATGGTTATTATGTTTGCTACATGTATCCATTTCAACTGACCTCATGGTTGGCTACCAAACCTGTTGGTATCCACATTTCAAGGAAGCGAAAGCACCACTTGGTATAGAAACACACTGAGTCAACACGCGCACCTCGGTTGTATGCACATTTTATACTGTCACTTTGTACATACGTTACACTTAAAGTTCTTAATTTCCCCTTATTCCATTATAAATTCGACTTACAGAATCTTGTTGTAGTAGATTTTTTATTTCTGCGAAAAGGGTAAAGGAAGATTGAACAAACGCAAACGATCGTGTTATATCTCACGAGCGTTATATGTTAAAATAACTTACCTTCCTTTTGAGTATCCGTGAATTCTGTCTCAGGGAAAGCAACGTCGAATGTAATATATAAGGTGCCATGAAGATTATTATTCTCGTAATTAGGCATGCCTTCTCCTTTTTTCCTAATACGGGCTCCCGGTTTGGTCACTTTATCCCTCTGAATAGCTACTTTGTGACCATCTAAATGTTCTATATCCATTTTAAAACCTATTAACGCGTCCTGCATAGATATAGTGACGTTTGTATATAGATCGTCACCAATTCTTTCAAAAACTGGATGCGGTTGTGTTCGTATTTTTAAGATTAAATCTCCAGGTTCCCCATCCAAATGTGGTTCACCTTCTGCTATAAATTTAGTTTCTTGTCCATCTACCATGCCAGGTTCTACTTCGACCTCTAATACACGTTCTTCTGTGACAAATTTAACATTTGGACATTCCGAACAAACTGATTGTTGCATCATTTGAAATCTTCCATTTCCTAAATTGCGAGTAACCAATTCTTGTCTGCAATTACACTTTCTTGTTCCTTTTGCTGCCTTCGTAACTGGCTTATTTCTTGTTATCTGAAAGATAAACAATTTTGTATGTCCCATTTACGTATCTTCTCCATTAACTATAAAATCTTACCTCTATAAAATTTCCACTATATAATTCTTCTAAAGTAACTACCAAGTCCATTACAATATTAGATCCTTTAGGTGTTTCTTGCTGATGATGAGATTCTCCACCAAAGTGAAAGCCAAAATCACCAAAGAAACTTGCAAATGGATCAGCATTATTCATCATACCATCCTTCTTCAAACATTCTTCTCCGCATCTGTCATACATTTCTCTCTTTTCGTTATCCGACAGAACCTCGTAAGCTGCACCCAGATCTTGAAATTTCTGAGAGGCATTCGGATCGTCTTTATTTTTGTCAGGATGCAATTCTTTTGCCAATTTTCTGTATGCCTTTTTTATCGCATGTTGACTCGCTGTCGATGGTATGCCTAAAATGGCATAAAAATCTCTCCTGCAAAGATATATACATACTTTAATTCCTATTTCTAATGTATCATATACTGTAAACACTTCAAATTAGCAGCCTAAATTGTTAGATCATTCAGCATCAATCATATGAATGTATAACTATACAAGATTGTAATGTTTTTTTTTGTAGAATTCTTAACGGTAAACATAAATAATGAAGTCGATCTACAAACGTACTTTAAACTTTATTTAATCCTTTTCGTATTAATAGCTTCCGTAGATGGTTCCGTACAAAGTAAAAGGTTATAAAATTATCATAAAGCAAATATCTTCGATATTCAAAATAATTAAATTTCATAAGCATAGACAAGGTTCTCCACTTACCCTGCCACAGTTAGAATTACACATATTGTTAAATTTATTAATAAAGACCAAATCAGTTTTATCGCTGCCATTCTAGCAGACGTTACAACAAACATCGGAGCTTAGGATCGTGGGTGCTCCTGATTGGTGGGTGCTCCGAATTCAATTTATCCGACTTTGATCGACGATAAGTGAGTTTTTAGGCGCGTACATATTCAACGAAAATGTTTAGATTTAACGTTTAAACGTTTAGCAGTAAAAAATAATTGGTTGAATATGACACAGGTATAAGATTTTTTTATACTTCGGCGCTATTTCAAAAAATATAAAACAAATTCCAATAAACTTAATCCTTTGACACTTAATTATATATTTTATTATTATAGATAACTCTTTGATTCTTCTACTTCTTAGATCAATATAAAAAGTATTAACATGCAACAGGTGAAATGTTATGTAAAATTATTTTAAAATTGTTTTGCTTTACTACGACTGATAGTACAAAGATTTCTAATATTTATCGCGCTTCAATCTTACTTTAATAAAGTTAAATTATTAATATTCGTCTTAATTCTACTGAAAACCACACTTAACAATAAAAATCTACTCCCTCCCCTACAATATAGTAAAATGATCATGTGACAGATCATATTGGGTGTCAAAGTGTCAGTAACAGTGTAGCGAAAGTAAAGTGTACTGTACAGGTTTGTGGTACGTGTTGTTAAACCAACTCTCGGTATTGTAATAAGGAAATCATTAGTTTAATCATGTCAATATGTAAATTGCCTCGAGTACTCTTGCACGAAAATTCAGTGAAAGGGATTCAGTCAAGAATCACATGACGAAAGCATTATTGACTAAAAACACTATCCTCTAAAATAAGATATCTCTAGGTTATGCATAGTTTATCTGTCAAACATCCTACAAAATGGAGAAACACATGCATTTATGGAGAGGTGTTGATAAGTTATCATACATTTTCGGTGACCAACCAAATGGCACAATTTGTAGACTGGTTACCATTAAAGATCACATTTTTGTAGCAACAACTACTAACAGTCTATACTATGGAGAGGTATCATTTTTGGAGGACAGTCCTCCGTCATTGGTTTTCAAAAGGGCTCAATTTGATGTGATCGATATAGCATCCAATTCGGATTATTTATTTATTGTAGATAATAATGGACATGTTTTGAAAGTAAATCCTCAGGATATGAGTGTAACAGATACAATAATTCTAAAAGAAGAAGTTAAATGTTGTAGTCATGGGTAGGTTCCATAAAATCTTTATGTATTTTTACATTATACTCAAATAATTTATACCGTTACAGATATAAACAAGAAAATGAAATTGTCAAAGTAAAATCAATAGCTGTTAGTGATCAAGCAGCGTTATTTGTAACAGAAAACGGACAACTTTGGGCTAGTGGAAATCAATCTCAAATAGATATTAACAGTACAGAACCTAAAAAGGTCAAGTTTTTCGAGGGTAGAACTGTGTCTGCTGTTGCATGTGGTTCAAACTTTAATGTAGTTGCAGTGAGAAAAACACCAAAAACTTTAAAAGATGATACTGACAGCGAGAATGAATTAGAAGAAGAAGTTTTCGTTAATTCATGTCCTCAGTGTCTCAACACCGTGCTGTTAAGTCCTACAAGTCTAACGTCATCAGATACTTGTCCTACTGGACTTCACGTACAGCAATCTAGTGAAGATCACTCAACCAATTCTATTAGCGCTTTATCTGTTGCTAGTAAAGAACAAGAGATTTCATTTGCCGAAAATAGTAAAAAGGAACAAATTTCTGAAGTGGTAGAAAATGGAGAACTGTGTGCCAATAATCCTATAGATTCTGAAAAAGAAGAAAAAAGGAATGTTATTTTTATAAATACAGAAGCTGCAAGGCAATTCTTAACCAGACAATTATCATGGGTTTCATCTTATGGAAGTGTTAAAGAAGATATACCTTTAGATAACATTGAAAAACCGACTAGACTAATAAAACAAAATGTATCTAATGTAGCTAATTTAGTATATGAAGGAGTGAAAAATGTGGGAGGTAAAGTTGTTACATTATCCAGGCATATGAGTGGAAGTTCAGATATAAATGAGTTTAAAGATGATAGCAGTGAACATTTGGAACTAGGAGAAGAATATCCAAAACCTGCTGCTACCAGTTTGGCACTCAGTTTACGCTGTGAAGAATTTCCTTGGTCATCAAGTACTGGTTCCTCTGAGCATGAATTGTCTCAACAAGGATTAAATGAAAGAATCAGTACACTAACTCGTACTGGCAATAGTATTCTATCTACTGAACTTTGGACGTGGGGTGATATTCAATATGGACAATTAGGAACAGGAGATATTGTTAAACGCTCGCGACCTATTTTGGTGGCAAAACTCAGTAATACTGGACTTCGAAAAATTTCATGTGGTGCATTTCATATCCTTGCTCTAACTCTGGATGGAAGAGTTTTTGCTTGGGGCAGAAATAACCATAAACAAGTGACATTGGAATCGAATGTGTATCAGAGTGCACCTCGTTTATTTACTACGAAATTATTTCCAAACGAAAGAGCTAAAGACATGGCAGCTGGTAGTTTTCATAGTTTAGTCATGATGCATCATGGTTTATACTTTATTGGACAGTCAAGGTAAATAATTTAATTACGAAAAGTATCAATAAGAAATGAGAGTTCTATTTACTCACGAAAGTTGTCATGTGGTTTCAGTAAAACTGGTGAAATGTTCCAACTCGATATTGAGACAAGCAATAAGTGCAGTCCCCAACAAATTTTTAGCTCTGGTAACTACAGTTGCTGTTCTGTGATAAACGAACCTAAGATAAATATCTCTGAGGATTTAATAAGTGAACAAATCTTCTTGGAAGAAATATTAATTGTTTATCAAAATTTAATTAGGCCATTCCAGAAAAGAGGAGGTGCTATGCAGGAATCAAATGTTTATGAAACATTATGTCGATGTTATACTGAGTTATTAAGTTTCAGTGTATTAAATGTTATTAGTTTATGGGATTATTTTAATCATATTGGTGAAGCATATGAAGTGACAATTGTAGCTAATGTTGAAGAATATATTACTGTATATAAATATTACTTAAATGCAGTGTGTGACATAATCTCTTTGAGTGGATTTACATATATTGCGAAAATAATTGAAATACCACAAGTAATAACAAATTTATTTATGGATAAATTAAAAACTAATGAAACTAAAAAAGTTGCTGATGAAATTACAATTACTATGGCATTGCAACATCCACTACATAAATTGAATAGGTAAATATATCTAAATATGTATTATTATTTATTTCTTATCTATGCTTTGAATAACTTCCAGTTACATTTTCATTTACATTTGCATTTATATCTTACATTTTATCTAGCAGCCTTACTACAACCTAATTGTCTTAAGGTACATATCCACTTAAGAGTAAAACTATCGCGAGTTGCTCTCGAGAGTATTTCTCTCGTTGGCTACATTGAGAGCGATTATCTGAGTCACTATCAGATCAGATTTTGCTCCTCTTCCTCCACTTCCGCTCTTATGCATTTCATCTTTTTGCCCACAACCTCTGATTAGAGGTCCTCCTCATTTCTTCTTTTCTTTCCTTCCAGTTATATTTAGACACATAAGTGTAATAGCTTTCATTATTTTTTGACTATTAAAAATTGGCAAAATAATTATAAGAAAAGATTATTAGTTTACAAGAGGCAATGAATTTGCTGCCTAAAAAATAAAAATTATTCTTTATGTTATAAAGGATCGTTTAAGGAATTATATTCTTACATTATGTCAAACATATTTAAAAAATTAATATTGCTATAAACATCTTAAATATACTAGTGATCCACTATTTTCTTATTTATAATAACAGACATCATCTTTGTACAGATATAAGAATATGGTTTTAAATTTGATGAAATGTAATGGCGCAAGAATGGGTGTAGAACGATTACAAGAAGCATTAATAAAGTGGGAGCAAATATGTGATGATCAGGAGAAACAACAAAAAGAAGCTGAAGCAACTAAATTATTTTGGGAAAGTTCTGGGAAACTTGGGGAATTATTAAGATTTCCTGATAGAAGACTTATTAGAGAGTCACGAGCACATCCTTTATCAATACTTAATTCTGGAAGATTTTCTACACATTGGTTTGTTTTATTAACTGATATATTTATCCATGTTACTGGTACATCTCATGTGGTACATCCACTTAAAACTCTATGGGTAGAACCTTTACCAGACTCTGAAATAGTACAAGTATGTTAAGTAAACCTCTTTGGAATTCAAATATAAATGTACATTTACAAACGTGCAATTTTTGTATTTGTATTTCTATGTTTCAGAATGCTATATCAGTAGTAGCTCCAGAGGACACATTTGTATTATATACTCCAACACCTTCTGAACGAAATGAATGGCTGTATGCTCTACAAAATGGCATAAAATGTAGTCTACAAAGAGTTATTGGACATGTGCCTCCAATAGTACGTTCTAGCTCATTCTCATTCACTAAGCACAGTGTTTTCAAAGATGCAAAATATACTGGTTCGTATGTCGTTAACAACAGTATTGTATCTCACGCGTTTTATATCATATTTCATATTTTAAAATTATAATACAAATGATGAATATTATGTAGGTACATAAATATACATATATGTATACGAAAAATACTATCTTTTATTTTGGTACATAGGACGCTGGTTGAGTGGTAAGCCGCACGGTTCTGGAAAATTAGAATGGCCTGACGGACGAAAATATGCAGGACAATTTCATAAAGGTATTATTCATGGTACTGGTAAAATGGAAATTCCATCACAAGGTGTATACGAAGGACAGTGGAAAGATGGACAACAGAATGGATATGGGACGATGAAGTCAGTTTTTAAATAACAATTTAAATTCTAAGCGTAAATAAATAAAATATACAATATATAAGAAGGTAATGTAAAATATTCTAGGTACAATAATGGAGACTTTTATGAAGGATATTTCAAAGACGGACTACCACATGGTCATGGTGTTAAAAAGGAAGGTCATTTTATGGCATCTGTCGCATCTGTTTATATTGGGGAATGGGCTGCAGGTGTTAAACAGGGATATGGAATTATGGACGACATTATGACAGGTAATTATAACGTAATTAAAAAATAGGAAAAGAAATCGTTGTTCTAGTAAAATTAAATCTTTATAAATAAGTATTGTTTTATTGAACAGTATGTATATTATTTCAGGCGAGAAATACTTAGGATCATGGAGTAATGGTATGAAACATGGTTGTGGTTTAATAGTAACTTTAGATGGTATTTACTATGAAGGAGTTTTCATGCAAGACGTTTTAACGGTAAATAATTCAAAATAATTCAAAATTTAGTAAATATAAAATGTTGAAATAAAATGCTTATGCTAAAAGGGTCATGGAGTCATGGTGTTTGAAGATGGTACTCATTACGAAGGTGAATTTAAATCAGCTGGTATTTTTTATGGTAAAGGTACTTTAACTTTCACTAGTGGTGACAGATTGGAAGGTAATATGAATGGTGCATGGAACGAAGGAGTAAAAGTTATTGCAACATTACATATGAATAAAGCTAGCGGAAATATACAAACTAATTCGAAACCGACGTAAGTAGTTTATTGTGAGCAATATTTATTTGAGCGTAATTTTAAGTTTATTTGTTTTTATTTAATACAGATCTTTTGGTAAATTATGTGTATCACCAGATCAAAAATGGAAAGCTATATTTAGGCAATGTTATCAACAACTTGGTGTACCTGAACCAGGTTCGAAAGCTATTGGTATAACTGATAAGTCTGCAGAGACACAACGTGTTTGGCAAAATATCGCTAGTATAATAACTAAGTCACATCAAAAAGCTTTACAACGAAAGAAACTTCTGACAATTACTAGTACCGGTAAAGAGAAAAATAACGAAGTAATTGATGAGTTGGATAAAATTCCTTGTTTTGGGAGAGATAAACTTACAATTCAAAGTTATAGAGAAATTCATAAGTACTTGATTAAAGCGTTTGATAGCTCACTTCACCCATTAGGAGCGCTTTTAACAGAAGTTGCTGCTGTATATACAGCTACGTATGGTGGTGTAAGAGTTCACCCTTTATTACTCAGTCATGCTGTGTCTGAACTTCGTAGTATCACATCAAGAATATATGAAATAGCTACTCTGTTATTTCCGGCGTTACCCCGAGGTGGTAAAGAATACGTATTAGAAACAGAAAATGAAGAAGAAGAGTATGTTTTAATTAATTTTCTATATGATTTATTATTTATTTATCATAATTATACAAATATCATGTTCCATTATTTTAACTTTGTACTTTGTTGTTAGTCAAGTTATAAGTGCTGCAGCGATACTTCATCCAATATTGTTACCTCGTGTGCATTCAGCACTTTTTGTACTGTATGCTTTACATAATAAGAAAGAAGATGATGCCTATTGGGAAAGATTAATGAAATGGAACAAGCAACCTGATATAACGCTAATGGCTTTTTTGGACATCGATCAGTGAGTAATATCGTTGAAAATACAAAAATGACAGTGACTTTATTAAATTTTAAATAATAATTTCAGAAAATTTTGGAAGAATACAAACGTAATGAATTTAAACGAAAACGGATTACCGTATCAAAGTGAACCGTACTTTAGCGAGGCAATAGAAACATTACAACAATTGAAAACCACGTTTTCTCCGTTAGAAAAGTTATTAGTCGTTAGGAATACATTTGAACAAATGACACAAGTAAGCTAGCTTCTTTGCTGTATATTTTTATTTGTTTGTTAAATCTCACATGATTTTTATAATAGGCAGTTCAAAAGCAATTGGGGACTACATATTTATGGACAATGGATGAATTATTTCCTGTGTTTTGTTTTGTTGTTGTCCGTGCCAGCGTATTACAATTGGGCAGTGAAATACATTTTATAGAAGATTTTATGGAGCCTTATTTACAAAACGGAGAACTTGGAATTATGTTCACTACCCTTAAGGTAAAATATTATATCCGTGAGAAACTCTATATAAGATTTTAGAGCTTAAACAATATGTATATATATAAATATATATCTTTTAGGCCTGCTACTACCAAATACTACAAGAAAAAATTAATGTGGGTGACTGAACATGACATAATAATTTTCATAAATAAATAGAATTATAAAATATAAAGTAAGTTTCAATGATAACTTATTATAATACATTGTTAATATAACAAATAAATAAAATATATGCACTCAACTCGATAAAAGGGTACCTCAAAATCTAACATTTAGTTGAAATAATATAATTTAATAAAATGTTAGACATCGTAAAATGGATTTTGTGCATTATGACTATTAAAAGTGGTATACTACTTATTTATTATAATTAATGAAAATAGAAACTATAATATGTATGAAACAGATAGATTGTCAGGTCGTAACAATGTAAGTAGTAAAATTACATATCATATTCTATAAAAGTATTAATGTACAGTGTATATACATTTAGAACGAATTTGAAGCTTTATTTATGTTAATTTTCTCGTTTCCAAGAAGGTAAATGTACAGTAAAAGTTTATAGGAACAGCCATATATTTGAACATTTTGTTATAATTTTAAATATCACTGCATTTTAAGTTCAATTTTAATAAGCATTTATTCATTACTATTGTATGAGATTGTTCAAAGCAAACTTAGAAATATATAAAGAATACTATGTTATACAAAATGATTTTTTGGTATTTCTACAAATAATATCAATACCAATATGATATAATTCTTTAATTCATCTAACTGCCATAAGTATCACTTAATAATATCATAATGTAATAATTTTTCTTTATTCTGTTATATTATTGATGTAATGAACTGTATTTAAAAGGCATTAATTGAAAAATTAATGTCAAATGATATACCTATGTTATATATTTCATAATAACAGCAACATTGTGATATTTCGTGCAATATCGTAAACCTATACATGCCATAAAAATAGTAATATAACGATGATGATGATTGGAATTTTATGTTACATACTGAATATGCGTTTTAAATGTTTTATGCCTACTATGTATAGTTTATAAGTATCTGTATCAAATGAACAAAACTGTATGTTTAAAGATAACAAATACATTTAATTCCATATTATAAATTACATGTGATTTTCATAATTTTACCTTAGAATTTAAATACACAAACATAATTCATTTTACTATAATATAAATTTCCCAATTAAGTAATCTTAATAAACCAATTATTAAGAGACAATTCTGTTGCTTTCTTTTACTAAATTTTATTTATTATTTCATAGCCTTATTTTGTATCAGGTTTCCCTTTTTTTCTTTAAATTCTGATTTAATCAAGTTACCACTTTGTACATTAAATGTTTGCAACTTTTGTATAAATATGGAACGTAACTATGAAATAAAATATTTCATTCTGTAAAATTTTTAAATCAGCTCTTGTTTCACCAGTTACGTACACATGTACGTGCGTATGTAAGTACTGTTATAACTATAGATGACTCCAATTATTTATTTAGGAGTTTTCCAAAGCTAGAAAGTGTGATAGAGACAAAGAGCCCATAATAAAAATTTAAATATTTAATGAAAAGTTCTGATATTAATCACTCAGGAATTTACCGTTTGTCGTTAAAACAATGCATGAAAATTTTTACATTCTTTTAATTGCCACATAGTTGATAAAATTTTGTATACATGCAAATCAGGCAATTTAAATCATACAAATAATAAAAAGCATTTCAAAAGACAAAATGTTTGCCCGTGAAATCTGGTTGCTTTCTTCTTACATACTAAATACATTTTTCTTAATTACGTATTTTAATATATATTTAGATATGTGTATTTTCTTGGAATAAAAATTCGATTCATACAAATTTTTTTGTAAATATATATAATCCCTTTATATAGTACATTGAATCAAAACTTTTAAAAATCATCTGTAACGCGCAGGTTTAACCAGCAGCATGATCACAAATTGCGAAGTAACTTAACGTCTAACGATTGATATGTCGTTATCGTTACTCTCTTACTTTAACTAAAGCTATTACGCTTAGAAATACATACTATATTGACGTAATTACGTTTATGTTATAGATATTCATTATAGATATGGAAGTAGTTAGAAGTGTATGGAAAAATCCTGTTTTGTTGTATAAAACTGTCTTATGGGCATCATTTAGAAATAGGTATTTATGTACATGACAAATGTTTAATATAACCTGAATCTTATTTTATACTTTATGATATAACATGTCATCAATATCGGGCCATAAAATATATATTTTACTGTGATATTCTTTTTCTTATTATACTTTAATAGCCTTTGTCATAATATAAGTATAAAATCTTAATTTGATGTTGCATCTAAATATCATAGACATTAGTCTATAAATGTCTTATAACTTTATTTTTATCAATTGCTACATTAACAGATTTGGTATATTTGCAACTTAGAAATATTATAGAAATTATTTGTTTTTATATAATCTATTGCTTTTGAACACATGTTAATATATTCTTTTTGGATTATACGCTAGGAAACTATAAAAACTGTCAAGACTTGTTATATGTTCCTTTTGTTTGTTGTATATAATGAAGTATATTTTTTAATAAATCTCCTTACTTTGTCATGGATAAGAAAAAATGTAAAAAATATTCTGTAATAATGAATTAAATAATGATTTTTTAGCACGTTCACATAAATGTAATTCTTAATAAATTGCAGAAGGTATGTATAAATAATTAGTGAAGGCAACATCAACATAAAATTATTTCATTACAGTAGCAGTTCAGCATCAAAAGTAACGAAAAAGGAAAATGTTTCTATGCAAGACAGCGATTTACAATTATCAAGTATAGACACAGATATAACTACGCAAAATGATGTAACATTTAATGCTCTTGTTTCAACGGAAGAGTTATTAGCACAAATAGGGTTGGCAAGGGAATTTGCAACAGATAGTAAAGTTGAACATCCTTATGTTGATAAATTAAAGAGGGTGCAGATGATTCTGTTTGATTTGAGTCATGCTATATCAAAACCAATACCTGGAAAAGCTAAAGCATTTGAAAGTAAACATATTAATGATTTGGACGAATGGATAGCAGAATATGCCAATCAACTACCTCCCCAGGAAACATATATTATTCCGGTAAAAAGAACATTTCCATCTTACACTTTCTATTAAATATCTTACATTTCATTTTATAATCTAATAGGGTGGTGGTAAAGCTTGTTCTATGCTACACTCAGCAAAAGCGATATGCAAACGTGTAGAACGAAATGTTGCATCTTTGGTTCAACATGGTTTATTAAATAAGGAGGCACAAATATATTTAAACAAATTACAAAACTTTCTATTAACAACCTCAAGAATTGCAGCAAAGTGTGATCAACGTACAGAAAATATATATATTCCTAGAGTAGAGGTTGAAAAAAATGAGGATAACTGAATTATAGACTTTATAAAACAAAAATCTGTAGACTATTTCCTACTGCTTTTATTGTAAAAGTAATATAAATAACCGAATACTTTACACAAATATTTTGCAATAATATTATTTTTAAATATGTTTTTAAAGTAGACACATTGTAAATATTCTATAATGAGAAATTATAAATGTCAGTTACTGATTATATTGTATTACTATATTACTATATTATTAAATGTACATAGTAATTGATTAATATATTAATGTAGTTGATATATAAAGATTTAAAAAAAAGTTGAAAGTACAGTATAGCCTTAAAATATTATACAGAGATTTTTCGACATATTGTCGCATAAAGCGGTCATGATTCATAAAATGTTTTGTTAATTCTAAATAATTACATACGATTTCATTAAAGTACATCTGTCTATTTAAGTAACAAAAATAAAGTAGATCTTTAAAATTATATTATATATACATTAATAGATTGCTAAATAGAAATCATTTTGCAACAAATTTTTGTTGCTATATATATACATATATGGTAGAAAAATATTTATAGAAAAAAATATTGTAAATGTACAGTTTCAAATTTAAATATGAAAATAAATATATATATACAATATATATATATATATATGTATATAAAGGTTAAAGACGATAACAACATTCGATAAAATTAATTATTTATTCTAAAACTTCATCCCCCTCAACAATTTCTTTTAAATTAAGTAATTCCAATAATCCAGAACCTTTAGTTTCGGATGTTACTAATTCATTTATCTCTCTATAATGTCCAGGATCGATTAAGCAAATCAAATTTAACGTTCCGTTATCCCATTCTTCTGTCTCTAATTTTGTTATTGACTTTACTATTTTATCTCTTATCTTTTTAGCCTCCTTACCTGAGGCTAAAACTCTGAGTCTCATTTGAGCTCGTTCTAATGGCATTATAGTCTGTAATTGAGGAATTACATCCAAAGCTTGCTGTTTTGCATTTCGGTTTGGCTTTACTGAAAAATGTATATCCTTCATGGCTTTTTCTATCATAGTTACTGTATATGGGCGTTTAGTTTCTGGATTTATACATTTGTTAGCAACAGTTGTAGCAATATCTTTAAACATAGAATCTAAAGCCAAATGCCGTTCTTTGTCAGAAACCTGAAGTTCTCCTTTTGTGAGAATCTCCTTACAAATTTCTGTCTGATCATCTGTACCAAAGGCTTTTACAAGATCTTCCTTCTTTGCTACTTGACCTTTTGAAACGTTTATAAATACTGTATGTGTTTGTAAAACTTCATCGATGTCTTTTTCTCTGAAATGTAATTCTGTTATTACGATTAATAGAAAATTTAATATGTATTGTGTACATAAAAAGAGAGAGAGTAAGATATGTTATAAGGGCAAAATACGTATAGGTTAGATGACAAGAACGTACAATACGAATAATGTAACGTACGTTTTAGATTTGATCGTCTGATAAAGACTTACAGTTTATTTCTCCATGAGATAACCTTGTTCCTATAACAAGCAATTTCAAATCGCTTTCCTGCTTTTTTCATACGAACCACGGCAACGTTGGTTAATCTTATTTGATTTGTTGGTGTAAAAATTTTCGACATTTTTGAACAAATATAAATATAATACTGTCTTTTGGTTTAAGAAATATAAGATACGCAATTTTTATTTTACGTGTAATGCGATCTTTATGTATTATTGTATATATATCGTACAAACGTTTCCAACGCGGTTTCGATCTCTCGATTTATAATCGATTCACTGACATATCCAATATTCAACTTCTTCTTCTAATATCGATAAACTTTTGAAACATCTTAAACGCATGAATTTACGCTACACATACGCAAATCAGTTCATAATTAATATTATCAAAATAACAGAACACGCGAGCGCGACGGTAACAATTTTTTGTAAAATTTTGTACGAAATCTTCGATATCTTACAAAAATATGTCGATTATATATTATATATATTATATGTATAGAAATATCTTTTCGCAAATATAATTATAGCCATAAATAAATGTAAACGTAATAAATATAAATTTGTCGGTAGTTACAAGAAATGTTATAGAAAGTATGGAAAATAAAGAATTGTATAAATATATTTTGTTTTATAACCTTTAAGAGAATAATATTCAAACGAAGTATAAATTAATTCAGAATTATATGATTACAAGAAAGATTTGAAAAGACAATCATTCGATGTTTTGTAATTTTTACATGCTTGTACTGTATATGTTAAAAATAAGTAACATCATTCGATGCAATCAGATTCTTACGAAGGTACGGATTTAGGTTTATTTATAATTTTAATTTTATAATTTCGAGGTAAGTTTATTATACTTTATACTTAAAGAAATGAAAATGTGTAGTCCATGACTATGACGTCATTGTATGATAAGGAAAATCGCGGGTGTGCGCACGCCGTGGCTAGACGCATGCGTAGACTGGCCGCTACGTTAGACCGTATCGAATATGGCTGCCGCGAGCGTGATGCCGTTAGAAGTGCGTGAAAAATGATCGTTTTTCCGTGGTTCAAACGATCCGACCGTTTTTACGTGTGTGCATAGTGACAGTGAGTGTTGTCTCCAACATCTCAACAACGTGGCAGGTCCTTATCATGGCGTTGGTCACCGTGCAACGGTCTCCAAGTATATCCAATTCCCCGCAGAGTTCGGTAAGTTTTCTTGCTTCTGTGCGTCTTTGTCGATAGCTGCTGTCAATTTTTACTGGGAATGCATTGTTTTGAAATTTACCATTATCGCTGTTCGAAATACCGTGTCGCAAATACATTAGAGATCGTTCGGGTCTGTTCGAACAGCCTTTCCTTATTTGGCGTATTGATAGCCAATTGAAAAAGGGAATTGTGAAAATTCCATGTTCTCTGCTCGATATACGTAGTGACGGTGAGCGAGGGAAGCTTGTGGCCATAGATAAACTATGTCTGCGGTAAACAAAGAGTTGTTTTGACGTTTCCCTCCCGCGACCAAAGACTACAACGCAACACCGCACGAGTACGTGGTTAATCGTCACTTATCTAATTCGCTAGAGTCACACATGTTTGTATCATAGACTATGGTTCCTGGAAATCTATATCAATTAATTGTACAAAATGACTCGTTTCATGCGTGACTTATTATCGTACCTGGTATCTTTGTATCTTTTTCAATTGTGTGCGATTACATGATTTTCTAGACGCGCTTGCAAATCTAGTTGCATCAAGATCTTTGCGTTTCGTTTCATGAGAAAAGATAGATAGATTTTTAATAAAAATAAGAATGGAAATATAGCTAACGAATTTGTAGCTAACGAACACAGGCTATACAAACCGTATAATACGAACCACATGGATTATACCAATTCAGATACGAGGGATAAACTTTTACATCTTTTACAACTACTAATCTTTCCATGTATATATAAACCAAACATAAACGTCGCATTAAGAAAAAAAAAAGTTTTTTTTTATAGGTTAGCTATTTTTACATATCTTGGGAAGTCTAAAATTTTACTTTCGACCGACCGCATATTATTAGATGAAAAGCAGAAAAGTTATTGCTTGTGGGAGTTACGAATAACATTGCGGTGGTATCGAAGGACGATAATGTTAAAATAAAATTTTCCTCTTGTGAATGAAATTTCAGTTATGATAGTCTTTAAGGGTTAATAATAAAAATTTCAAAATATCCTTTCCATGAACAAGAAGAGCTTCTTAGTTTCGCTTTTCGAGGAATGTACCCCCGCATCGTCAGGGTTTGTCGCGTCGCGTCGCGTCGCAATGCCACCGATTGTTTGTGACTTGTGACTTGCGACTGCGACACTCGTGTGCACCGGAGTCAGCAGTGGTGGCGTCGCGATGATGGTGACTGTCTTTGTCGAGTTAGAACTCGCTACGACACCGGTGCGACGAAAGAAAGTTGAAAAAGAGAGCGAAAGGAACACGTGGTTCCAGCGTATGCGTATCTCCTATTCGAAAACGAGTGCCGTGACGAGTGCGTTTCCTTCCACCGGTAGAATGATTTTGCTGAAACGAGTAGAGTCTGCATTTCGCAAAATCTGCGTTTTGTCAGCTTCAACGATGACCAATCACGAGCCTGCCGTTGGTTTGTTCGCCCATCCTGATTTGGTTTGGAAACGGGGCGGTCCTTTCGACGATTAGTTTTTTCCACGATGCAATCGGAAGACAAAGCGAGCTTTTCTGCGACGTTGAAAAGCTGTTTGACGAAAGAAAACGAAACGAAATTTAATTAATATGCTATACTTTCTTTAAAAATCTTTTACGTTTTTGCGAAAAATAACGGAGAAGTATTTCGGATCCTATTCTATTTAATCGTTATGCAACTGGTATATCGCGTTCGATATTAAGTAATTAAGTAATTGCAACGTAATTAAACAACGAACGAGATAAATTTTCCTACGAGGCACTTTATGATTATTGCAAACAGACTGTTATAGGATTTTCTAGTAATTCGAGTGAAAATCTGCATGTGTCATCTATGTCAACAATAACATGTTGTGAAATATCAAAAATAACATGTTTCGCCAATGTCTTGTTGCTACGATCGAACGTTCTTTCCACATTTCGCGTTTGCTTCGATTCATAATGGTTGGCTTCCTGCGAAGTGAATTTGGAGTTGATTGGGTTCCTACTAATTCCGAGAAATTTGCGATTTGAACTTTTCTTCGTGGTAGTACTTTTACCACTACATTCAACATGACATTACATTCTTTTCCACTAAAACTATTTACATCGTTTACCATGTAAACCCCTGAATTAGTGTGTATCTCTGTTTTTCACAAGGAAATATTTGTACTTCTATAGATAATTGGGATCAAAATTTCACGTGTAATGCATTATTGATTATCGCACATTGCGAAGAAAGTAAACACGAATGTAGAAAATGCCTGGGAGTATGTCTTTCGAAGTGGACCTATTGTTCAGTGTTTCTGAGATGGCCGTCTCAAGAGCTAATGTCTGGACACTGTCTTTAGCCTCTTGTCTTATATCATCTTGCCTGCTGTTTCATTTTAAAGATTTAATTATATTTTTTGTTATATCGTAAGTTTAATTAAAAAAATTCCAAGCCAGATAATAAATAGTTTCGGAAGGAATCATTTCTCTCAAAAGCATCCTTTTCATGTGTAGCTCATTTTTCTATAATTATCTTGATAAACTTCCGTT